TTTTTTTTTAATAAAAGTAAAAAATAAAAGGGCCAACTGGGTGGCTCAATGGGTTAAGCATCTGCCTTCAGTTCAGGTCATGATCCCAGGGTCCTGGGATCGAGCCCTGCATTGGGCTCCCTGCTCAGCAAGGAGTCTGCTTCCCCCTCTGCTCCTCCCCCTAACTGTGTTCTCTCTCTCTCAAATAAATAAATAAAATATTAAAAGAAAAAAAGAAGGAAAAAAAGAAAAAAGGAAGGAAGGAAGGAAGGAAGGAAGGAAGGAAGGAAGGAAGGAAGGAGACAGGAGACATGACAGCTAATGCTGAAACAACACAAGGAATCATAAGACAGTACTGTGAACGATTACACACCAACAAACTGTACAACATAAAAGAAATGGATAAATTCCTAGAAATACATGACCTACCAAAACTGAATCATGAAGAATTAGAAAATCTGCAAAGACCTAAGGAATGAGTAATCAAAAACCTCCCGACAAAGAAAAGCCCACAGCCAAACAGCTTTACTGGAGAATCTTACCAAACATGTAAAGAAAATTAATGCCAATCCTTCTCAAACTCCTCCAAAAAATTGAAGAGAACAGAACACTTCCAAACTCATTCTATGAGGCCAGAATTACCCTGATACCAAACACAAAGGCACTATAAGAAAACTAAATACCAACATCCCTGATAAATATTAACACAAAATCCTCAACAAAATACTAGCAAATCAAATTCAACAGTACATTAAAAAACTTATACACTATGACCAAATGGGATTTATTCCTGGGATGCAAGAAAAGTTCAACATAAAAAAAAAACAATAAACATAATACACCACATTAACAGAATAAAAGAAAAAAACACGGGATCCCTGAGTGGCGCAACGGTTTGGCGCTTGCCTTTGGCCCAGGGCGCGATCCTGGAGACCCGGGATCGAATCCCATATCGGGCTCCCGGTGCATGGAGCCTGCTTCTCCCTCTGCCTGTGTCTCTGCCTCTCTCTCTCTCTCTCTCTCTGTGACTATCATAAATAAATAAATTAAAAAAAAAAAACACATGCCCATCACAACTGATATAGAAAAAACATTTGAGGGAATCCCTGGGTGACTCAGTGGTTTAGCGCCTGCCTTCAGCCCAGGGCATGATCCTGGAGACCCAGGATCGAGTCCCACATCAGGCTCCCTGTGTGGAGCCTGCTTTTTCCTCTGCCTGTGTCTCTGCCTCTCTCTCTCTCTCTCTCTCTCTCTCTCTCTCTCTCTGTCTCTCATGAATAAATAAATAAAATATTTAAAAAAAAAAAGAATACTTTGGGTTTCAACACCCTTTCTTGATAACCACTCAACAAACTAGGAAAAGAAGGAACAACCTCAACATAGTAAAGGCGATATATGAAAACACACAGTTAACATCATACCCAAGAGTGAAAAACTGAGAGCTTCACCTCTAAGGTCAGGAAAGGGCAGGGACACCCCTCTCGCTACTTCTGTTCAGTTCTGGAAGTCCTAGCCACAGCAATCAGGTAATGAAAAGAAATAAAAGACATTCAAATGATCAACCAGGCAGAAGACTCATCTGCTGAAAACCATAGAACATGCTGCTGAAAGGAAGAAGAGACCAATAGAAAGAAGCTCCATGTTCATGGATTGGAAAACTTCATATTGATGAAATGTTGGTCTTACTCAAAGTGATATACAGATTAAATGCAATCCCTATCAAAACCCCAAGGGTGTTTCTTTTTTTTTGCAGAAATAGAAAAAAACTATCCTAAAATGCATATGGAATCTCAAAGGACCCCATATAGCCAAAAAAATCTTGAGAAAGAGGAACAAAGTTGGAGGTGTCATACATTCTGATTTCAAAACATATTACAAAACTACGGTAATCCAAACGGTATGGAAGTGGCAAAAAGACAATAAAGACAGGCATATACACCAACTGAATGGAATGAAGAGCCTAGAAATAAAGCCTCATTTATTTGGTCAAATGATTTTCAGCCTTTTATCACATACAAAAATTAATTCAAAATGGATTAAAATCCTAAACATAAGACCTGAAACCATAAACCTCCTAGAAGAGAACATGGGGGAAATCTCCATGACATTGTAACAGGCAATTATTTCTTGGATATGACACCAAAAGCAGGTAGGTAACAAAAGCAAAAATAAACAAATGGGACTACATCAAACTTCAAAACTTCTGCAGCGAGGAAGAAATGTCAGGGTGAAAAGTAGCCCACAAGAGAGGAGAAATATCTGCAAACCATACATTGCACAAGAGGTTAATATTAAGGATATATAAAGGGGCACCCAACTGGTTCAGTTAGTAGAGCAGACAACTCTTGATTTCAGTGTTGTGAGGTCAACGTACACTGGGTATAGAGATTACTTAGAAAAAAAGTTATTAAATTTAAACACCTGGGACACCTGGGTGACTCAGTGGTTAGGCATCTACCTTCAGATGTGCCTCAGGATGTGATCCCGGGGTCCTGGAATTGAGTCCTTCATTGGGCTCCCTGGGGCTCTCCCTCTGCCTGTGTCTCTGCCTCTTTGTGTCTCTCATGAGGGATCCCTGGGTGGCGCAGCGGTTTGGCGCCTGCTTTTGGCCCAGGGCGCGATCCTGAAGACCCGGGATCGAATCCCACGTCAGGCTCCCAGTGCATGGAGCCTGCTTCTCCCTCTGCCTGTGTCTCTGCCTCTCTCTCTCTCTCTCTCTCTCTCTCTCTCTCTCTCTCTCTGTGACTATCATAAAAAAATTTAAAAAATAATAATAATTTCTGTGTCTCTCATGAATAAATAAGTAAAATCTTTGAAAAACATAACTAAAGATAATAAAATTTTTAAAAATTAAATCTTTTTAAAAAATAATACATAAATACCTGCTACAACTCAATATTAACAACAACAACAAGACACAAATAACCTCATTTAAAAATAAGCAGATGGGGAACACCTGAGTGGCTCAGCGGTTGAGCATCTGCCTCAGGGCATCATCCTGGAGTCCCGGGATCGAGTCCCACATCAGGTCCCTGCATGGAGCCTGCTTCTCCCTCTGCCCGTGTCTCTGCTTCTGTGTGTGTGTGTCTCTCTTGAATAAATAAATAAAATCTTAAAAAAAAAAAAGCAAATAGACATTTATGCAAAGCAGATATGCGAACAGTCCATAAGCACATGAAAAGATACTCAACATCAGGGAAATGCAAATCAAAACCACTACATATTACCTCACCCCTATTAGGATGGCCACTATCAGTAAAACAGAACATAACAAGTGTTGGCAAGAACGTGGAGAAATCAGGGCGCCTGGATGGTTTAGTTGGTGAAGCGTTGGCCTTCAACTCAGGTCATGATCTCAGGGTCCTGGGATTGAGACCCACATCAGGTTCCCTGCTCAGTGGGGAGTCTGCTTCTCCCTCTGCCTCTCACCCCACTCGTGCTCTCTCTTGTTCTCTCTCCCTCTCAAATAAACAAATAAAATCTTTTTTAAAAAAAGAAGAATGTGGAGAAATCGGGCACTGTCAGCGGGAATGCAAAAGGGTGCAGCCGCTGTGGAAAACAGTGTAGAGGTTCCTCAAGAATTTAAAAATAGAACTACCAGCAATCCCACTTCTGGGTATATCTCAAAAGTATTGAAAATAGAATCTTGAATGGGACGCCTGGGTGGCTCAGTGGTTGAGTGTCTACCTTTGGCTCAGGTTGTTTGGCTCAGGGTGTAATTCCGGTCCCGGGATCGAGGCCCACATCGGGCTCCCTGCGAGGAGTCTGCTTCTCCCTCTGTCTGTGTCTCTGCCTTTGTGTGTGTGTGTCTCATGAATAAATAAATAAAATCTTTAAAAAAAAAAAAAGAAAGAAAAAGAAAGAAAGAAAGAAAGAAAGAAAGAAAGAAAGAAAGAAAACAGAATCTTGAAGAGATGTCAGTGCTCCCAAGACACTGATGCAAATTGCATGTCTGTCCACCCACAGGTGAGTGATAAAGAATATGGTACACATTGAATGGAATATTAGCCAGCCTTTAAAAAGAAGGAAACGGTGTTGTGCGCAACAAGAGGGATAAACCATGAGGATGTTATACGACATGATATTAGCCAACCCTAAAGAGACAGATATGGCATAATTCCACTTATCTATCTAAAGTCACTGAGCTCAGAGAAACACAAAGTGGAGTAGTGGTTGGCAGGGGCTAGGGGGCCTGCCATGGGATGGGCACAGTCTTGGGCACGTGAGAGTTCTCAGGCCCTGCAGGACCATGACAAAGTGCAGGGAGGTAACAACCATGGCGTACAACTTGCAAGTTGTTGGGCATGAAATTACGTTACGTGTGTTTTACCACAATAAGATAGAGAGCCCCCTTGCCAAGAAATGTGAACAAGCTCTTCCCCACTTAGGGATATTGGGACAGGCAAAGGGGAGCTGGGGATGGGCCGTTGGGGTGGGGGTGCCAACTTGACTACAGACCTGTCCTGAGAAGATTATCCTAAGAAGTTGAGGATCTGTAAATGGAGTCTAATAAAAGTGTCTGTGCCTGCACATCTTGAAGACTGAAACTTTGGAGTACCCAGCCCCAGACTGAAAAGCCCTGATCAGAGCCTGCTGGCTGGGTCTCCTGCCCTCCTGGGGGGCCATGGGGCACTGTTCCTGTGCAGGGGGCAGCCAGCATTGTCCCCACCTCACAGTCCAGATCTGGCCACTCTGTCCCTCCTCTTCACTCCTACTTCCCGGTTGCACAAACTATTAGAAGGATCTATTGAGAAGGATTCAGGACCCCAGCACAGCTTGCGACTCCAGGCCGAGGGTGGCGGCTGCTTGCTCAGAAAACTGGAAGGAGACCTGATGGGACACCCTGTGTGCCCGAAGTGGAATGTGTGGCCCTGGTGAGCTGTGAGGGCCCTGGTGAGCTGTGAGGGCCCTGGGAGGCTAACAGCCCTGCCAGGATCAAGCGTTCTGGCTCCTTTCTCTGTCTGGCCAGATCCCCCCTTGCCTCAGAGCCCAGGGTAAAGACCACCAAGGAATCAGGACGCTCCAGGGAGTGGAAAGGCTTTAATGAGCATCACAGATGGACCGGGTGGGACGGGTACACATTCCAAATGCAGTCATTGCCTCAGTGAGCAGGACAGTGGAGGCCCAGGCCTGCTCAGCTGTCCTCTGACCCACTGGCAGCTGAGGGGAACCCCTAGGCATCCCCTGCACCCAGCACAGGCCTTGAGAGGAGGGGGCAAGGGCTGCTGCTGCCACCTCAGCAGGAAGACCTCAAGCAGCAAGCTGACCTCCAGAGGTCAGGAGAGGCCAGGAATCAGACAGAACGTGGAATCCCGTGGGGTCCCCAGACAGCATGGAAACTCACAGAGGGGCCCCCAGAGCCAACTGGCTCCAGGAAGTAAGACCTTTAGGGAATACCCCCAGACTGAGACACTCACAAAGGGCCAGCAGAGGTCTGGAGGGAGAAGCAGGGGTGGGGGCAGGGGGGTGGAGGAGGCCGGGGGGAGCCAGGAAGAGCACCAGGGCTGGGCGCCGGGTAGTGCCATGAAGGGGTGCCGGAAGGGGTCTTCTAGCTGCTGCTCTGCTGCTCCTGTTGGCGGATGAGGTTGGCAATGGGGCTGGTGATGCCACCTATCAAGGTCCAGTACTCGTCGAAGCTGATACGCCCATCGTGGTTGGCGTCCAGGTTCTGGATGAGCTTGTCTGCCGCCTTCCGGTTCCCTGTGTCCTGAAGAGGAATGAGGGTCAGCGGCGCTGAGGGCAGGAGTCCGGCCTGGGGCTCTGGCCTGAGCGCTGCTGCCCTGGAAGATGTGGACCGAGACTTCCCTGGTCATGCCCAGGCAGGGTAGGGGGTGGGACCCTGGTTTGGGGGGTGCCTCACCGTCAGCATATGGTTGAGCTCTTTCTGGAGCATCTTCCGGAAGCTGCTCTTGCTGATCTTGTTTTTGACCAGGCTATGCTTAGACACATATTTGTAGAAGTTTTCCACCAGGACCACGACTGCCTTCTCCAGCTCCGTGTAGCTGTCTGCCATCTCACCGCCTCACTCCTCAGGGCCTGGGCATCAAAAGCACAGGGGAGGTGAGGAGACCCTGCAGGCCAAGTCCCCTGCAGCCTCCTGCCCCCATCCTTCTGCTGCCCGCCATCCACCCCTGCAGGTGCTCCACAGGAGAGATGAGGCTGAGACAGGGAAGCCTGACTGGGGCAGCCAGGCAGCTGGGTGGGCCTGGGACAGAAGTGTGTGGCTGCTGCCGTAATCCAGGCACTCACCAGCTAAACCGCCCCAGCAGGTTCCCCCAGCACATTCCCGAGGCCCTGCCCCAGCCCCAGGCACCAGGCCTGTCAGGGCCCCAGCCAGAGCAGTAGGTCCTATCCCTCCGCTCTCTCCACACCTGACCCACCCAGGGCCCTCCTCAGGAGCAGCACAGCTACAGACTTCGAGGACAAGCCAGAGGGGCCAGGAGGCAGAAGCCATGTCCCCAACCCAGGCAGCAAAGCAGGGGCAGGCACCTAAGCCCTCCCCAGTCCCTTCAGCCAGGCGCCAGGACAGGGACTGCAGGAGCGCAGGGAAAGGAAAGGACAATGTCCTCATTCACTGAGTTAGACTTTCTGCAGACCCCCAGCCACCTCCCGCTAGCCTGCCCTCCTTAATATCCACCCCCAAATACATAGGAGGCCCCAAGAGCCCTGCCCCATTACCTAAGGAGGAGCTAGGCCTGGTTCTGCCCCAGCTGGAGGCAGAGCTGCAGCCAGTCAGAGACTACATGCATCACCCCCTCATCCCAGGACAAAAGGCACTCAGTCCAAGCGGATACAGCCTTCAGAATAACAGGATATGAGGGGAACAGGCGGATCTACTCCAGGAGTCGCCGCCCATGCCCAGAGCCCCCCCAAGTGAACCCGGGGAAATGAACCTCCCCTCCCGCCCCCAAGCCCAGGAATGAGCTACAGTCACCCAGCCCATCAGGTCCCAGCAAGGGAAGGTAGACACAGCCACTACATGGGCCTGGGCATCGTGTGCCCCAACTTGGAAGAGAGGTCTGCTGGCCAGGCCTCCCTCAGCACAGCCTCGTGCCCTGCCAGCGTCCCTCTGCTTCCCTGGCTCTCAGGGAAGAGGCTCTTTAGGGAAGAGCTCCCAGGCCGCACTGGCAGGGGTTGCCGACTCTTCCAGGATCTGGTCTCCCCAGGTACCAGGCAATTCCTGAGGCAAGGATAGTGTTTCTTATGTGCAACCATTGTGTTTTCTGAACCAAAATACACGACTCACAGACTTTAGGACCATTTTTTAAAATCCTAGGTCCATGAGCTCCCTGCTTTTAATTTCTACCTTTCCCCTTGCCTGCATCATCTGGCCCAGTGGCTTACTGGAGGTAGACGTTCTATAGATATGATACCTCCCTCCAGCCCTGGAACCAGATATCCAGAGCCCCTGACCACCCTTCTATCATTTGTCCCTTAGGAAGCTCTTTATGAAGGAGGGACATCCAGAGGGATGAGGCCCTAATGGAGGGAGAGAGGTGGGCTGAGGGAGAGGAACAGACCAGGGTGTCTCTGAGACGGGCCCTTGCCTTCTGTCCCTGCTTCGCCCACCTGACCACTCTGGTCTAGGGCCAGAGGACGGAGTGTGGAAGTGGGACTACAAGAAACCACGTTCTTTCCCCATGCTCCTCATTTATCAAGTGTGTGACTGTGAGGTCCAACATTCCCATCTTTGTGAGACTTTCATACAAACATCCTAACACTCACCAACGAAGAGGGAGAAAAGTTCCGATCCACAAAATGCTGCTCCACTGGCCCTAGTCAGGGGAGGCCCAGGCCCACGGCCAGCACTCCTGGGGGTTCCAGAAGCTGTACTCACTTCCACAGGGACTGTGTGCCAGGCCTACTCCCAATCAAGCTTCAAGAGTTTGAAGAGAACCCCCAAACTTAACCATCCCAGACCTCCTTCCCTAAATGAGGAACCCTGTGGGAACCAGGCAGCAAGAGGAAAGAGGAAAAAATCAGGTTTGGGGTACTACACCTCTGACCCTGACCCACCTTCCCCTCATAGCCTTTCTTAGAGTCTGGTCTCTCTGATCAGGAGAGACTCCTCTGGCCCCGACCTGGCCTCTGGCAGCCATGCAGGCCAGACACTGCTGGGCACCCAGGACGGCCAGCTGCTGCCTCCTTCAACACCCTAGTTTCGGGTCCCTAGCAGTCTGCACCCACGCCCCGATCTTCTTCTAGTCAAATGGGAATGCTGGTGATAGCCATCTGGATAAGGGCTTCTCCGAAGCTTTTTCTGAAGGAAGGCTATCAGAGTGGGATGGTCAGGTGCCATTACCCTGGTCCTCCTGCTTCCCTCCCCTGGGGGCCAGGAGACAAGCTCTGCCATGACACTCACTCACCACACCTGCTTCTCCCACCTGCCCCATTCTGCCACCAGCCAGAGGGAACTAGGCCGGAGGGGTCACGCTGTGGACATGGACATTAGAGCCCAAAAAGTGGGAGTGGGGGACCACTTGTCCTCCAAAGGGTCCTCTCACCCAGGGCCCCCCCATCCTCCCCCAATGTCCTTCTTGTCCCTTCCTCAGCTGATTCATCCCTTGAGCAACCAAGAGGCCCCACCCCCAACCCCGCCCACCTCAGTCCAGCTTGCTGATTTCTCCCAAACTCTGTGGGTGCTCTGACACTTGACCCTGGGTCTCAGCCACTGCATCCCCGCCTCCCACCCCCAAGTTCTAGGCTCTACCCCTCCAAGTGCCTCCTAACCACACCCAGCCCCCTTGGGTCAACCACACACAATCCACCTCTCCCACCAGAGTCTCCAATGGTCTCTAGGGGCCAGTGATGTCCCTGAACTTCTCTACCTCTTGGTCACTGTCCTCTTGGCCCTCTCTCAAGCCTCAATTTGGCCTTTCATGTGTCCCTTCCATCCACCTCAAATTTGTTCACTTGTTTCTCATCATTTATTTCCTTCTTCATCCATTGCCTCATTTATTCACTCCTTCATTCACCTACTGGTTCTCTCATTCATTCACTCACTCATTTCCTTCTTCATTCATTTGTCTGCCCCAAGTACCTGCCCTGCACAGGGGAAGTGTGATCCAAACTGGCTAGTAGGGATCCCTGGGTGGCGCAGCAGTTTGGCGCCTGCCTTTGGCCCAGGGCGCGATCCTGGAGACCCGGGATCGAATCCCACATAGGGCTCCCGGTGCATGGAGCCTGCTTCTCCCTCTGCCTATGTCTCTGCCTCTCTCTCTCTCTCTGTGACTATCATAAATAAATAAAAAATTAAATATAAATAAATAAATAAATAAATAAATAATTAAAATAAACTGGCTAGTAACCGGTCACTCCATTTGCAAGGCTGTTTCAAATGAATGTCTCCAATTAATGGCCCCATTCTGTGCTCCCAGTTCCAGAGGCTAATGCGTGACCCCAGGACCCCTGCCTCACCCTCCGCCCTCCATGACCTCACAGGACTCACTGCATCCACTTCCCACATCCACACACAGAGCCCCCAGGTGCCGTGCACTCACTTCTGCTTCAGAGCAATGTCACTGGAGGAAGAAGGCTGCTTCTCTGGAGCGTTGTCCAGACAAGTGGAGTTGGAGGATGGTGTGGATTTGGAGGATGGTGTAGCGGCTCACACACCCGGCTGCCCCTGGTCTCACCAAGGGCCAGAGAGCTCTTTACTAGTCAGCAAGGAAGCCTGAGCCCAGAGCACAGGAACCCCCAGGGCTCCCTCTCCAAGCGCCCCTGCCCTCATCCCCACCCTCCAGGGCAGGACACAGCACAGGTGGCTCCGTCAACCACAGCCAGTCAAGCCACCATCTGCCCAGAGTGGAAATAAGCCTCCTGTCCTTGGGCTCTTGGGCTGGCTGGGCCCTGCCCGGTTCCTCTCTCAGGACAGAGTTCCCAGAGCCCAGTGAGGCCTGTGTCCAGGTCTGACCACCCCCAGCCGCCACCAACACGCACTTGCCCTTGTTCTGAAGGCAGGACGGGAGCAGCTGAGACAAAGCTCCTGAGCGCTCTGCTCTGCCTTGTGGCACAGGCCCTGCTCGAGAGCCCAACCAGCATCCGGGTGGGGAGGGGGCTGCCCCAGCCGCTCCTCTGAAGGCCTCTCCAGCCCCCAACCCCCCCAGATGTCTCCATTCCCAAACCAGCCTGTGGGAAAATTAACAATTAACCAAACCTTCCTGCCCGGGGTCTGCAGGCCCCTTTCACGGCCCCCTCTCCTGGCCCCAAATGCCGGCAGGGCCTCTCCGGCAGCCCCCAGACCTCCCAGGCTGGGCAGGGGGTGCTCACCTGCCTCCTGGGACGGCGTCCTCTGCAGCAGGGCTCTGGGGCCTGGGCTCTGGCACTGCCAAGCAGCTCCCCCCGCTCAGCCGGTCCAGGACTCCTCCCCGCTTCGCTCCCAGAATCTGTCCTACTCCCTACAGCTGGCCGGCCGTGCCTGGCTGAGCTGGCTGGTGGGAAGGTAGTGACTGAGATCCCTCTTGACTTGGCCCTGGGGTTGGGCCCTCGTTAAAGAGATACACACCTTTTTTAACACCCCTCCACCCCCACCCCAAAGGGAGTGGTGGAAGCTGGCACCCCCCACGATTCTACCCTCCTTGCCCTGCAGCGCCTGAGGAAAAGAACCTAGTCAGTGGAGAAAGAAAGGGAAAGGCTATCACCTGCCCTGATCACCTGGATCCCTAGCAGCCCAGTTTCAAGGTTCCCCCCACCACACACACGTTCAGTCAGCATTGCAGGCCAGCCTGGCTGGCCACAGACCCCCTTGCTATTAGGATTTCAGGAGTATTGCCTGAGTTCTGTGGGTCCCATGAGAAGGCAGCAGCTGAGCCTGGCCCCTGGCCTTCCCACCCCCTTCTCAAGCACCAGGAGCTGACACCCAGTATGCAGTGGAGGATTGTTCTGGGAACACCCCCACCTTCCCAGGACACCCAAGGGGAGCGGCCAGTTCAACATATGGAGGCAACAGAGCAAACCCCAACCATAGAGACCTCAGCTCTGGGTGCTGGCTCTGTCAGGCTCTCCGCTAAGGACTTTACACAAGGTGTCCATTATTCTCCAAACAAATCTGTGAGAGATATGGACACGCCATTTTACAGAGGAGGAAACTGACACCCTGGGAGCATGCCCAAAGCTCCAGAGATGGTCAGTGGCAGAGCTAGGTGCACACCCAGGCAGCTCAGCCTGTTTCTCAGCCCAGCATTCCCCTGCAGCCAGTCAGCCAGGCTCCAGCACACCCGCTTTCTCAGGGGAGCACGCAGTGCCTCCTCTCCCGTCAGAGAACAAGTGACTTGGCAAAGAGAAGCCTACCCTTCAGAGAGGACCAGGTCTCCCAGCTTTGGGGCCTCCACTGAAATCCATGGGGGAAGTGAGTCCCCGTTCACTCCCACTGCAACTACTGCAGCCCCACAAGTCCCGGGCCTCCAAGGACTCTGAAATTCACCCCAAGCACCCATGGACCAAGGGGGAAGCATCCAGTCAAGACAACATCTTGCACTTTTTCCATTTTTTTATTCATCAAATGATACAAAACAACCATCCTTCTTTAAATGCCCAAGCACCCTGTTGATCCTCCCCAAAGTCACACCCTCCTCAGCCTGCTCTCTCTTTTCCTGCCCAGGGGCAGAGCGGGAGGCAGGAAGGTGTAGCACTGGACAGACAGCTACCGTGTGGGTTGGGGAAGAGATCTGGAAGGGCAGGTTCTCAGAGGCCCTTCTGAGTACCAAACCTCTAACCCCCTGCTTCAGAACATTTCCAGTAGCCCAGCTCCCCGCTGCCCTCCTCTGTAACCCAATCACTCAGCCCTACACCATCCTTGTCCCCCCAGTCTCTCACCGAATCCATCCCTGGCCCCCACCTGCCCCCCTCAGTGGGGGCCTCTGGGGAGCTCTCAGAGACCCCGGGAAGGGCTGCTGAGGCCTGGCCCTTGCAGAGGTGAGGCAGGTACAGACAGGGGAATCGTGTGGTGCTGGCAGAGAGTTTAATTTCTAGGCCCACAGTCTCCAAGGTCCCCTTTCCCCCAACATCCCCCAAGAATCCCAGGGAAAGGTTCTCAGCTGCTCCGCACAGGGGTCTCCAGCTTCACGCTCCTGGCTGCTTCTCCAATCAGCTCCCAGAAACTCCCAAACTCCAGTTTAGAGTCAGTACAGCTGCCCAAGTTGGCAATTTTCTCTTCCAGCCCATAGTTGCTCTGAGGGGAAGGAAGACAGCACAACTCAGCAAGGCGGCACCTGCCGCACCCTGCCCAGCAGGAAGCAGGCCCTGAGTCTACCTGCCATTGGCAAAGGGAAGGGCTAGGGCTCCCTCGTGCAGGGGCCAGCCCAGCTGTGGATGCGGTCTTGTGGCCCTTGCCTGGAAAGTCAGGACCTTGCCTGGGAAGTCAGGATGCTGCCTGGGGCGGGGCGGGGCAGGGCAGGCCCACCAAGTACCGGCATAAGGTGGGGCAGCTGCTGGGTGACCAGGGCCTGCAGTTCTGAGGGAGTCAGCGTCTCCTTTCCGCCTTCCACAGAGTACTGGTGGAAGCTCCTGATGAGGGTCTCGATGGCCCTCTCCACCTCACTGAAGTCTTGTGTATCCTGAGGACCAGAGAGGGGGGAGCACTGGGTTAAGGAGGCCCCGCCCACCCAACCACACTCCACCTCCCCAGCCCCCCAAGGCCCACAGGGCAGAAGACAGCTGGAAGGCAGAGGGGCTCTCACCCACCACAGAGACCAGCATACAGCTCCCCTCGCCCCCGCTGGCCTCTGCCCTGAGCCTCAGGCTGAGCAAGGCCTCCTCCCTGTCACCCACAGCCCCCACGCAGGATGGTCCCGGCATGAGGCAGAGATACCCTTTCCCCAGAGGGCTCCTTGTGTGGACACATCACCCTGTATGAACCCCAGAGAGGAGTTGGGGTCTCCCGGGCAAGGTCTAGGGCACAGGCAAAGGGGGCAAGTCAGCAGGGATGCAGACCCTCAGGGTGGAAGATGAGCCTGGGAACAGAAAGGCATGATTGGCCCCACCTCAGCATTGGCTGACCGACACTGTCCCATGGCGACTGGTGTGCTGGTCCTGGTGAGAGCTGCGTAGTCCTACAGCTGGCCCTAGAGGAGTGGAAGGTTCATGATCTGCCTGGAGATCTACGGAGACAGTGGGGGTGGGTGTCAGCATTTCTTTCTCAACTATCCCCTCTAGCTGTACCCCAGATACTCTGTGCCTCATTCAGGAGGCCAGAGCCAACTCCACATGAGGCTGAGTTCCTGCAGGGGATCCAGGAGCTAAGATCACAGCCTCCAGGCCCACCCATCTAGAGGGAATCCCTTGGACCTCACCCCAGATCAGCCCTCCCATTTCATCCCACCACTCACCTCTGCTACACACACACACACACACACACACACACACACACACACACACACACACACCAGCCTCCAGGACCTGCCCTTCTCCTGGCTGGCTAGGGCAGAATAATCAAGTGTCACCCTTTGGACAGGGGGCAGCCCCTTTGAGTAAAGAGCCCTGCATCTCCTTACCTGCTGGCAGCTGCTGGGACAGGAGGCTAGGAGTCAGCTCACCTGAGCTTAGTGCTTATACCTGGGGGCAGGGAGAGAAAACAGGGGGCTGGGCCTCCTCCTAAGCCTCCCCTGTTTTGGCAGTCATCCGGGCTGTGAGCCAGCTATGCGGGGCCCCACCCTCCACCGGCCAGAACTCCAAGCCCGCCCATCCTGCCTTTGGAGGGAACCCTGGATTGCCCCTGGCTCCAGACCAGCAGGCCAACTCAGGGCAGGAGAGAAGGAAGGAGAGGTCGGGGAGAGAAGAGTTGGGGGTTGGCAACACTGCAGTGTCAAGCCTGGGGGGAAATCTTGGAGGAACTGTAGAGCAGGAAGTGGAGGGGCTTCTCGTCAATAACCAGGAAAGGAGAAGCAGAGGCTCATGGTCCAGAGGGAGTAACTACCCATGAGCTGAGAGGTCCCCCTGGACCGCACTGTCCTTGGACAAGTCTCACATACATTCCTACTCCTCCCAGCTGGGCCAGTCTGGGCTGGGACACTCAAACCTGCAGTCCCCACAGCTGAGAGGTCAGGACTCAGGTGGGGAAGGAGCTCAGAAAGGGCACAGTATAAGAGATACCCACATGGCTCAGCTGGCAGGGAGTGACCTCCCCAAACAGGTTGGGCTGCCTACTCCTCCCTCCCTCCCACGCCTTTCCTGCACCCCAATCCAGTGCCCAGGATGACATCCCCAGTGGGCCCTTCACCACCAGATGGGGAAGGGGAGGGAGACAGGCAGGGGAGTTAGGGGGGTCCAGCCCATGATGAGGTGGGGTCCAAAGCCTGAAATCTGAGGTCAGGAGCATGTCTCCCAATGCTCTTCCCTGTGTCTCCTGCTAGGACTCCCCTGTACTTCTAGAAGTGTCTCCATGAAGAGGCCCTCCCAAGAGCATCTCATCTCAATCTGAGGGCTTTTCCAAGTGTGCCTCAACCCGGGGTCCCTGTGAGAAGTCTCCGTCTGGGTGACTCTCCTAGGGTGTCTCACTGTGGGGAAGCTCCTGTGAGATCCCTTCTGGGATGTCTCAGCCAAATGACCCCTGGAAAGGTCCCCCCCTGGGGGTTCCTCTAGAGTCTCTCAGTCTGAGGGCACTTAGATCAAAGGTCTCAATCTAGGACCCTTTCTGGTGTGTGGTACAGAGGTTGCCTCAGCCTAAATGTTCCTCTGGACTAATGGACACCAAACCCTGGAGTGACCTCAGCTGGAAGGCGGCAAGGCCACTACCCCCCTACCCACCGCCCCCTGCCCAGCCCCGGGCTGCCCCACCTCTGCTCCCTCTGGTGGCGGGCAATGCAAACCACATACCCTTCAAGTCCAGAAGAATAGAGAGGATGTACCACTGCCCATCCCAGCCTTCACACCTTGTGTCCATTCTTCTGCTTCACCCCTGCTATGGTGGGAGGAAGGACAGGAGGGCTTGCTTCTCCCAAGCCACCCATCCAGAGAGGACCCCAGTTCATCACAGACATTATGGAACAGCAACCCAGTTCCCCCTATTCTTGTCCTGGTGAGCTTAGGCTCTCTAAAATCTGTCTCCTCATCTCTGATACAAGACTTAAAAATAGCACGTCCCTGGAGGGAGGTGAGCGGGGATGGGCTAGACAGGACCTGCAGCAAGGAGGGCACCTGTTGTGATGAGAGCTGGGCGTTGTATGGAAGTGATGAATCACTAAAGTGTGCTCCTGAAAACAATACCATACTGTATGTTAACTAACTAGAATCTAAATTAAAATGTGGAAAAAAGGGACACCTGGATAGCTCAGCGGTTGAGCATCTGCCTTCGGCTCAGGACATGATCCCCGAGTTCTGGAATCAAGTCCTGCATCAGGCTCCCTAAGGGGAGTCTGCTTCTCCTTCTGCCTGTGTCTCAGCCTCTCTCTGTGTCTCTCATGAATAAATAAAATCTTTAAATAACCAAGTATTTAATTAATATGTGAAAAGAATACTACCTACCTCAAAGGGCTGTGAGAATTAACTAGGTTAACACAGGAATTGTTTGGTACTGTGCCTGGTACATAGCCAGCCCTCAACACAAATTCACTGCTATCATTATCATTCTATAGCAGAAAACTCAGGTACTAGAAAAGTGGGAGCTGAGACCATCTGCCCGAGCCCCAGGAGTCACTTCACCTGCCCCAGAGATCTATTCTCTCCCTTTCATATACTCATTCATTAACCATTCATTGAACAGCTACCTTGTATAAGACCTGGTGCTAGATGCTGTAGAGTATTCAAAGAGGAGTAATATTCCTGGTCCTTAAAGAGCTCATAATTCTGGACCCACTCTCAGGTCAGGGCAGAGCTTTCCCACCACCTACTCTTAAGAGAAGAAAGCAGGGCAGGGTGTGTAGGAGAAATGTGTATTTTCAGGAAGAGACTTTATTTGAGGGGAGTGGGGTTCTGCTGGCCAGCCCAGCCCAGCCTATCCTGGTCAGGGGCTTTACTTCTTCCGGATCTCCAAGGCTCTCTCCTTCTGGATCTCCTTGGCCAGCTCCCCAATCAGTCTCCAGTACTCATGGAACTTGAGCTCGGAGTCCTGATTCACATCCAAGCTCTTCATCTTCTCATCTAAGGATCCGACATCCTGAAAGGACACCAAAGGAAAGGGCGGGTTAGAAGTGAGAGTTCTCAAGACAGCGAGAGAGGAGAGAACAACTAATCTCCATTCTCTTTCTATGGGACGAGGCTGCAGCCCCAGGACAGCACTGCCGTGGTGTCTGCCACTGAATAACCTCTCCAAGCTGTGTGAGCTCCAAGGGTGGCAGCAGTAGGACATGGGGGACCTGATCTGTAGTCTTTGCCAGCAGGACCACACACATGGTGTCAGTGAACATAGAGCTGGCAAGACATGCACACAATGCTCTGTCGCCTACAGGTGAGGTGGGTCCGCTACAGGACGCTTGGGCAGCCCCAGAGGCCATCAGTAGCACCCTTTCAGGCCCCTTCGTCCTCCACAGAAAGCTAGAGAAATTCACAGCCCTAAGTTGCTCATTTGCATGACCCCTATATAGTCTCCTTTTTCCACTTTGGTTATTAACCTGATTGACCAGGGCAATGGCAACAAAGGATTTTGTCTGTGACAAAGTTTCCCATGACAGGCCTATGAAATAATCTTAATTATTTAAGTAAAATCTTAAAAAAAAATTGCAGGGAGGCCAAGAAGCCATGCCAAATGCACAGAAGCTAAAGCTCATTCATAGAAACACTAAGCAAGAACTTTGTAAAAGCCACAATCATGCTTTTTAAAAGTAATATGATTTTGGACAGCCCGGGTGGCTCAGCGGTTTAGCGCCACCTTCATCCCAGGGCATGATCCGGGATCGAGTCCCACGTAGGGCTCCTTGCATGGAGCCTGCTTCTCCCTCTGCCTGTCTCTGCCTCTCTCTCTCTCTCTCTCTCTCTGTGTGTGTGTGTGTGTGTGTGTGTGTGTGTCTCATAAATAAAAATCTCTAAAAAAAATAAAAATAAATAAAAAATAAAAATAATAAGATTTTATATATTTGGGGGGGGGGGAGAGTGAGTGCACAAGAGCAGAGGGAAGGGCAAAGGAAGAAGCAGATTCTCCACTAAGCAGGGAGCCCAACATGGGGCTCAATCCCAGGACCCTCCTGGGGTCATGACCTGAGCTGATGCTTCATTGGCATTGGTGCCCCCACAGTCATGCTTTTTTTTTTTTTTTAAGATTTTATTTATTTATCCATGAGAGACACGGGGGGGGGGGGCAGAGACACGGGCAGAGGGAGAAGCAGGCTCCATGCAGGGAGCCCGACGTGGGACTCGATTCCGGGACTCCAGGATCACGCCCTGAGCCAAAGGCAGATGCTAACCCCTGAGCCAGCCAGGTGTGTTCCCCGCCCCACCCCACCCCACTCCCGCCAGCCCACAATCATGCTTAATTGTAAAACGCTATAAGCATTGTCAGTGGAAGGCAAAGATGCCCAGTGTATCGGGAGGGGGGAAAATATACAAGAGAAAGAAAGAAAAACTGTAAGTACTAAGAAAGAAGAGGCAAATTCACCTCTTATTATATTAGCAAGTATGTAATTGCATAGGTAGGAGAAACCAAGAGTGATAATGACTAACATTTCCACAACTGTAAGCCCTTGATCACGCCAACTGTTCCAAGTCTTCTGCTAAACACGGTACATGCCTTCCCCCATGGAACTTCGCAATCTCTGAGTGTGACGGTGACTCTGTCCACCTTGCTCACCTTCACAACCCCAGAGCCAGAGAGAACATCTGGCACACAGCACGTGCTTGTTTGTCACTGCAACCCAAAGCCCAGGACATGGTAGATGCTCGATAAATACTGACTGAATAAATGCAAGACCAATCCCACAAGAAAGGTATTATTAGAAGACCATTTCACAGGTAAAAAATGATGACTCAGAAAAAGTAAATGACCAAGGAAGACATGCTAGAATCTGCATTTGAGCCTAGATTGCCTGACTCAAAGTTCATGCTCTTATCCACTATTCTGCATCTTTTCCCCAAAAAAACTATTAGAAATGATTAAGTATCTGCTTACAACATTAACACACAAACCCAGTACTTTTTAGGTGTTATATTAACCAGTCATAAAGTATATGAAAAATCCTGCTTAAAACACTAAAAAATGGGGCTCCTGGGCGGCTCAGTCAGTGAAGCATCTGCCTCCAGCTCAGGTCATGATCTCAGGGTCCTGGGATCGAGTCTAGTATCAGGTCCAGTATCACGTTACCTGCTAAGTGAGGAGTCTGCTTCTCCCTCTCCCTCTGCCCCTCCCCCTTGCTTGTGCTCTCTCTGTCTTTCTCTCTCAAATGAATAAATTAAAAATCTTTAAAAAATAAAATAAAATGGCAAAAAATGAAATAAAGCAATTAGGCATAAATTAAGAAATTTATTAAGCTTTTGTGAAGAAAAAAGAACTAAAGAATCTAAAACATGAATAGAAAAATGTACCCTTAACGACTTTTGGAGAAATAAAAGTCAATTCTGAGGGTGAAAAAAAGAAAAGAAAATTCCCCCCCCCTTTTTTTTTTTATTTATGACAGTCACAGAGAGAGAGAGAGAGGCAGAGACACAGGCAGAGGGAGAAGCAGGCTCCATGCACTGGGAGCCTGACGTGGGATTCGATCCCGGGTCTCCAAGATCGCGCCCTGGGCCAAAGACCGGCGCTAAACCACTGCGCCACCCAGGGATCCCTGTACCCTTTTTTTTAAGAGAGAGACTCAACAGTGTAAAGATGTTAATTTTTCCTGAAATATAATTTTATATGATGCTAATAAAATATCCACAGGATTCAAGTCCAACGTGGGGCTCTCTGCAGGGAGACTATGTCTCCCTCTGCCTATGTCTCTGCCTCTGTCTCTCATGAATAAGAAAATAAAATAAAATAAAATAAAAAATAAAATAAAATAAAATATCCACAGGATTCTTTTTTTTTTTTTAGTTTTATTTTATTTTATGTTTTTTTAGTAACCTCTGCACCCAATGTGGGGCTCAAACTCACAATCCTGAGATCAAGAGTCACATGCTTCCCTCCAACTGAACCCACTAGGTGCCCCTCCAAAGGATTCATTTAACATGATTAAATGTTTCTAAAATTCAGGGTCCCTGGGTGGGTCATTCAGTGGGCTTCTGCCCTCAACTCAGGTCATGATCCCACGGTCCTGAGATCCAGCCCAAAGGCCGGCTCTTTGCTCAGCAGGAAGTCAGCTTCTCCCTCTGCCTCTGCTGCTCCCCCAGCTCATGCTCTCTCTCTCTCTCTCTCTCTGTTGCTCACTCTCTCTTAAATAAATAAATAAAATCTTATTTTTAAAAATGTTTCTAAAATTCTTCTTGAAAAACAAACTGCAGGATCCACCACAAAATTTTGAAAAATGAGAATAATGAGAGAACTAATGCTACAGGTAATTAAAGCATAGTAAAACTACAGTAAACAAAATTGGTACTCAATAAATAATAAACAGATTAATGAAACACAGTAACGAGATCCAAAATACGCACTGGAACTGAATAAATAACAGAGATGGTATTTCACATCAGTAGGAAAATTTTATTTATTTATTTATTTATTTATTTATTTATTTATTTATTTATTTTTAAAGATTTTATTCATTTATTCATAAGACACAGAGAGAGAGAGAGAGAGAGGCAGAGACACAGGAAGAGGGAGAAGCAGGCTCCATGCAGGGTGCCCAATGTAGGACTCAATCCCCGTTCTCCAGGATCAGGCCCTGGGCTGAAGGCAGTGCTAAACCTCTGAGCCACCCGGGCTGCCCGGAAAATTTTAATAATAAAACAAATTGGTTTTTTTAAGATACATTAAACTCGGGAAGACCTTTCCAAACGTGGCATAAAACACAGAAGCCATTCACAAAACTTTGAAAGATCTGACTACATAAAAAAATTTTATATTCTGTATGGCAAAAACTACCAAAAATAAAGTCAAAGGACAAACAAAGGGCAAGTTAGGAGAAAATGTTTGCAACACATATAATAGACAAAAGGCTAATTTCTTTATTCTACAAAGAGTACAATAAATCAGTATGAAAAAGAAAATCTCTTTAATCTCTTTAATAAAAGAAATAAGCAGTTCACAGAAGGATTACATATGTCCATCAAAAAAATTTTTAATGTTCCATTTCAGTCAGAACTAAGTAAGTGTAATCAGAACAAGATATCATTTCCACATATTAGATTAGCAAAAATCAAATCTGATAAGACCTGATTTGGACAAGGACACATGGAAACAGGCATTTGCATACACTGTTGGCTATGAAACCTAATACAGCCTGGCTGGGAGGCAAACTTGAAATAGCCATAAAAATGAAAAACAAACATGCCTTTTGACCTAACATTTCTACTGCCACACATTTACCCTAAGTAGATATTTCCCTCAAGTATGTAAAGATATGTAAACAAAGAAGTTTGCAAAAGAGAGAAAACGGACATGAGAATGTCCTTTAATAAAAACTCAGCTGCATACATTTGTTAACCCATATACCATCATGTGCAGTGCATCATGTTCTTAAAATGGGAAAATATCCTATATGCATGGTTCCATTTTTTTAAAGACTTATTTATTTAGTCATGAGAGACACACAGAGAGAGAGAGGGAGGGAGGCAGAGACATAGGCAGAGGGAGAAGCAGGCTCCTCACAGGGAGCCTGATGTGGGACTGGATCCTGGATCCTGGGATCAGGCCCTGAGCCAAAGGCAGACACTCAATCACTGAGCCACCCAGGGGGGCCCGCATGTTTCCATTTTTAAAAAGGCATTTGTAGAACAGTAGGTAAGATGCATTTATTCATTTACTCAACAATTCTTACTCTTTTTAAATAATTTTTTTACAATTTCACTTACTTGACATTTTGCTGGGCACCTACTTAGAAGTCAGGCACTGCTCTAAGTACCAGAGATAAAACAGTGAGCAATTCCTTTCCTTCATGGGACTTATATTCCTGGTAACATTCAAGTGTGTAACGTAAGTCAGGTTGTGATGGGTGTGTTGTGAAAGAAAATAAAGAGGGTAAAGGAACAGAGCACAAGGGAGGTGAGAGGTGAAGGAAAGCAAGCTGAGGATTTGCCATCTGAAAAGAAATTGGATTTTAGTGAGGAATAAGCCTAGCCAATACCTAAGGAGTGAGCATTTTGGAACAGGAGAACAAATATATATAAGTAACTTTGCTGCTTTTGAGTTTTGCTATAAAGGGGAACAAAGATATAAGACATAGCTGGGGAGAGTTATAGAGCCAAGAGAGAAGGGTTTTTTTCATTTGTTAAGATGGGAGATATTACAGTATATTTGGGAACCAATCAAAACAATCTAGTGGAGAGGGAAAATTGATGATGCAAGACAGAGAAGAAAGTGAAAGAGTCCAGATTTTAAGTGGTGAGAAGAATGGAGCCAGGCAGCAGAGGAGAGACTGGCCTGGGGCAGAAACAGATGCTTCAGGTAACAGGCAGGCAGGGGAGATGCAGCTCTTTCCTAGATTTGGGGAGACAGTACACAGGAGTTTCTTGATTGCTCTTATTTTCTCCAAGAAAATTCTCACTGAGAAGAATGTGGAGAGAGGGACCTTTGAGAAGACAGGAAACATTATGAAATTATCATCTGAAAGGGCTGGTGAGTGAACCAAATTGGGAAATGGAGAACTGGCTGGCTGTGCCCAGGGTCCCCTTGGAGCTTGTCGTTATAGACTTAGAGAGAGATGGGACACCTGGATGGCTCAGCACTTGAGCATCTGCCTTTGGTTCAGGGCATAATCCCATGGTGCTGGGGTCGAGTCCTACATCAGGCTCCCTGCGAGGAGCCTGCTTCTCCCTCTGTCTAGTCTCTGCCTCTCTGTGTGTGTCTCTCATGAATAAATAAATAAAAATCGGGCAGCCCAAGTGGCTCAGCGGTTTAGCGCCGCCTTCAGCCCAGGGCGCAATCCTGGAGACCCAGGATCGAGTCCCAAGTCGGGCTCCCCGCATAGAGCCTGCTTCTCCCTCTGCCTGTGTCTCTGCCTCTCTCTCTCTCTCTCTCTCTCTCTCTCTCTCTCTCTCTCTCTCCCCCCTCTGTCTCTCATGAATAAATAAAATCTTAAAAAAAAAGTGATTTCGTAAAAATAAAATAAAATAAAAATCTTTAAAAAAATAAAGATTTTGAGACAAGTCAACCCAGTGTACCAAGTATACTTCAATTTTAAAAATAAATAATAAAATTAATAAAGTGGGACAAGTCAACACGGCAGCACCTTTTTCTGCAGGCAGATTCAGCTATACAAGAGCAAATGCAGAATGGTTTGTAGATTCATTGACTGGGTTTTGTTTTGGGTTTTTCTTTTTTTTTTTTTTTTTGAGAATGGAAATTTTTGCCTTATTTTGATATGAGAAAAAAAAATGATAGATTTAACCATCAAGTTAATGCAGGTGAAATACTGGCCTTAACCTAGATTAAGACTCTGTCAAACAGGGATCCCTGGGTGGCGCAGCGGTTTGGCGCCTGCCTTTGGCCCAGGGCGTGATCCTGGAGACCCGGGATCGAACCCCACGTCGGGCTCCCGGTGCATGGAGCCTGCTTCTCCCTCTGCCTGTGTCTCTGCCTCTCTCTCTCTCACTGTGTGCCTATCATGAATAAAAAAAAATTAAAAAAAAAATTAAAAAAAAAAAAAAAAAGACTCTGTCAAACAATGAGGACAGGGAGAAATAGAATCAAGGGAGCTGGGATCCCTGAGTGGCTCAGCGGTTTGGCGCCTGGCTTTGGCCCAGGGCGTGATCCTGGGGTCCTGGGATTGAGTCTCACGTCGGGCTCCCTGCATGGAGCCTGCTTCTCCCTCTGCCTGTGTCTCTGCCTCTCTCTCTCTCTCTCTCTCTCATGAATAAATAAAAAAATAAAATCTTAAAAAAAAAAAAGAATCAAGGAAGTTGATTGAGCCTTAGGACCCCTCTGGGTGAGAAGAGAATGAGGACAGGCGGGGATTGCATGGGAAAGAAAATGTGGTGGTCCCCACAGTCGGGGAAATGCTGGAGTGGATGAACAGAGCTGGAATGGCACGTGGTGGTGCTCACGGAAAAAGAGTGGGCTGTTCTGAAGCAGGACAGAATCTTTGAAGGTGAGGGGTTGATGAAGTGTGGAGGCCCAGGTGTTGGATGAATTTTCTGTGTGCAGACCGAGGACCGCAATGAAAGCAGTGGTGAGAAACTGCAAGGCAGGAGCTGAACTTACAAGGAATGTAGGAAAAGGGGGGCAGGTGGCCCATGAGCTTCCAAGGAGCTGTGCATCTTAGGAAGAAGAAACCAAGATCTGGAAGCAGTGACAAAAAGCAAAGAGGTCACTTCTTGCATCTCCAGGCCCAGAGGGAGTTGGATTTGGAGGGAAAACCAGTCATTATGTGGTAAGGCCGCAGGGAATGTCACACCTCCTGTGGAGTCTCAAGTCTCCTGGAAGAAGACGAAGGGAAAGGTCTGAGAAGTCTAAGACTGTAGGGGGTTTATGGATGATAGACTGAGCTTCCAAGACTAGTTTTTTGTTTTTTGTTTTAATCCATATGCACACACTTCATTTGCCAGTGAATTCTCAGAAAGGGTGTAAAAGAAACTGTTAACAGCCTGGGAGGATTAGGCAACCCAAGTGGACGAACTCTAAATTCCTACTCTGTCCACCAAGTGGGAGAGAAAGAATGACCTTATCAGGGTCATTACTAAGGGGATTCCCAGAGGGAGTGAGAAGTAGCCAATGGTTACTTACAGGTCCCTCCTACCCTGAGCTTTTATCACTACTTTATTATTTTTTGGCAAATCCCTTTCTGCAGCTGGGCCTCAGTTTCTGTACATGTGAAGTGAGGCGTTTGGACTGTCTTCTCTTGGCCTCCTTCTAGCACTGATGGTCTACAACTCTCCCAGAAACACCTTTGGGTCCCCTCCTATACTGGGGGAATGAGACCAGGGAAGCACAGAGTAGACACAAGTGCCCACAGCACCATTTGAGGGTAGCACACTTGCATGCTCACCAACACAGCCACTGAGCTACACACGCAGTCACTCAAACCCTGCGTTCACAGTATTGTGTCAGGAATATCACCGCACACCCACAGGATCCTGTAGCCACTGTCTCCTAAAGTCTCAGGCCCAGAGACCCCCACATAAGACCCCCACATACCTTGAGCAAGTGAGGCAACTGCTGAGTGACCAGTTCCCTAAACTCATGGATGCTGAGGCTGCCCTTCCGGCCCTCCTGCCCTGCAAAGGTGAAGAAGGTGGTGACCACTGTCTCAATGGCGGCCTCCAGCTCCGTCAGGGGCTCCGCCGCCATCAGGACTCTGCAGGACAGGAAAGGAGGGAAAGGCAGAGTCAGAACAGACCCAAGGGCCCCTGCCGGGGCATTGCCCCCTCGGGCCGGCCTGGGAGAAGAATTACAGGGAAGCAACGGGGAGGGGGCGGGGACAGGGATGGAGATGCGGAGCAGGAAAGAGTGGACGCGGCGGAGGGGGAAGGGCGGTGGCGCTCAGAAACTGGTTCTCCCCAGCTCCCGGGGCCCCTCTGCGTGGTCTGAGCGGACCCCGGCGGAGTGGCCTCTCTGTAGGCTTCAGTCCCAGGGCTCTTCCTGGGAGGCTCCTCCGGCCCCCAGAGCCCAGGAGGCTGTCTCCTGGCCTGTGTGCGCGGGGACCCCTGCCACCCGGCCCACACCCGGGGTCAGGCCTGGGGACCCCGCCCGGCGGCCTCTCCCCGCCCTCCCCTCCGCGAGCACTGCCCTCCTGGCTCAGGGACGGCCCGGGGCCCAGGGCGGGGACGCGGGGCTTACGGCGGCCAGGCCAGGGGCAGGTGGGCGGTGGGCGCCGGCACCGCAGGGGACCGCAGGGACCGCAGGGACCGCAGGGACCGCAGGGCGGGAGGCAGCAGAGGCCCGGCCCGGAGGTGTCCTGCCTCGGCCTGGATGCTGGAGGGAGTCTCCGCCCAGGCCCGCCCCGCCCCGCCCCCGCCTCGCCCGGCTCCCCCCCCCGCCCCCCCCCCCCCCCCCCCCGCGCCTCGCCTGCCCCCAGTGGCCCCCCGTGGCCCCTCAGCCTCGGGGTGGGACCTCAGCAGGGGGAGGCGGTGGGGAGCCGCTTGGCCCTCTCCGCTCTGCGGCCTGGAGGGACTGAGTGTGCAGTCCGAGAAGCACCGCAGAGAACCCCCCATGCGATCCTGAGAAGGACCTCGCAGCCCAAGATCCCTGAGAGGGGGACCCCGCTGAGACCTCCGCGGAGGAAGATTAGGACTCAAACCTCTGAGGGGGTATCAGGCCGGGGCCCCCCAGCCAGACTCCCGAGATGAAGTGATTGACGGAGAGGCCCCCTTCCTGAGAGCCCTCGGCAGGATCAGGATCGTCCCTCTCCTGTCTCTGCCAGGACCTTTCCCACCTCCCTTCCTCCTGTCCTCCCGGGCCCTGCCTGGGGGACCGTGGGGGAGGGGAAGCCAGTGAGGCTGGACAGGACACAGGGCAACCTGTTCCAGCTCGGGAGACAGAGGGCGCCTCTGTCCACTCTGGGCCCCTTGGCCCCCTGGGTGTCTGTCTGGGAAGGGGTGGAGCCGGTGGGAAGGGGGGGCAGCAGGGGGGAAGGCCTGAAGACTAGTCTCCCCACACAGCTCCGTTAACCACATTTGCAGACTGTCCATCTGTCCAGAACCTGCCCCCACCTCAGGTCCAGGCTGACTGACGGTGAGTGTCCTGCACCCTGTGTGCTGGGTCTCTGCTGTGGCCAGCTTAGGGGGAGAGGGGGCTTGGATGGGGCTCCCAAAGTCTGGGGTGGGAAGAGATGGTCTGGGAAGAGTTCCAGGGACAGCAGTTTGGGATTTGGGAGAGACAAGGTGTGGATGGTAGTGCAGGGAAGCCAGTGGAGGTCAGAGGGAGGTGTGCAGTGTTCCTCAGAGAACGAAGAAGCCAGTGGGGAAACCAGACACCAAGCTTCCTTGGAGCCCTCCAAAGTTCCCTCAATCTCCCAGGGGCTGGGGGTGGGGTGGGGAGGGCATCCCCGACATTGCTTCCAGTTGAGTAAGCAGAAGAAAGCAAATGGAACTGTGGCTTCTGCCCCCACCTGACCGTCCCCTAGCCTTGCCAAGAACTCAGGTCCCAGGGAAGTCTGGGGGTGGCAGAGCATGGACCACGTGAGATCAAGAGGAGGGGGCATTCAGGTCCTGCACCCACTCCCAACTCTCCTCTCACATGACCTTGCCTTTCCCCTCCTCCATCTTTGGCCCAGACTTCCAAACTCCTCTTTCCTTCAACTCTTTCCTTCTGTTTTGCTGTGTGCTACCCCCACCCCCCGCCCAAGTCCTCTCCAAATGCCCCCCACATAAAATCCCAGGTTGCTCAAGTGCCCCTACTGGATGGGGCCAATAATGGGGCCACCGACAGCCAACCTCTTCTCTCCATCAGCCTCAGCTTGGGTTCCATCTCCCCACATCTCTTTGATGACTGTTCCTCATGTCCAAAGTTCAGGTGACACTCACAAGGCTCCCATTGTAAAGATGGAATGTCATTCGATCAGGGCCCATTGTTCAGCCCTCAGGCCTGGGGGAGGACAAAGACACTTGATCTGAGACACCAGAGCTGTCCCCTGAGGCTGCAGAGGGGATGACCATCCCAAGACCAAAAGAAAGAGACCCAGTGGCATGGCAGTCCCCTTCCTCAACAAAGCCTTCCTTTTCCCTCTTCTCACCAGCCTCTGGAATTCAGAGGACACACTCAGCCTTTCATGTCTGTCCCCCCAATACATGGCCCCATTCTCCTACGAACTGTCCTCACATCATCCAGGCTGGGCCTAGGTGGGGGAGTGAGCAGCAGGAGGGACCAGGCCCCAGAGGCCTCCTCTCACCTTCACTGGGAGCCCTGGCTCTGGGGAAAGGCTTGGCCATTCCTCTCTCCCTTCCCACCATCACCTGATGGAAGGCCTGATTCTGCAGAGAAGTAGGAGGAACCAAACTAGAGGTAATGGAGGTGCACCCCAGCACAGCTGAAGCGACCTGTTGAGGACAGAGCAGAGTTGAAGGACCAAAAGAGGCCTGTCTGCCAACAGGAAGCTCAGAGGCAGTTAGATCCCCCTCCCGCATGAAGCCTTAGGCCAGCCACTCTGGCTGACTCCATCAGGCTGGCTGAGGGCGTCAGACTGATTCCTTGCTAGGAGCAGACAGCAGAATCAAGGCTGTGGGGGGGAATGAAGCCCACCACCCTCAGCAGCAGAGCTGGGCTGTGCTAGGCAAGCAGAGCAGAGTAAAAATAGAGCCAGAGAAAGCTTGGCAGTGTCCTGTGACCACTCCCGCCTGCCTGCCTCACCCTCCTCAGTGTCCACCTTGGCAGCCAGGAGCCACTGCAGAGGCCACTGGAGCCACTGCAGAGGTCCAGAGCTGCTCCACCTCCACAGCCCAAGCCCTGAGTCCCTCTGGCTGGGATATGGATTGAGGGAGAGAACAAGCCTGGAGGTAGGCCTGCTTGGGTTCCCACATTCTAAAGTTTCAGTGAGAGATAAAGTGCAGTGTGGCTCTGATCTCATGGCGGTTTCAGGTAAGGGACCAGGCCAGGTCTGAGGGCTCCCCTCACCCCAACCTCAGATACCCTCCCTGAGCATGGTCCCCTACTTACTTCCATGGTGGGGGGTGGGTAGGTGAGCTACGCAATGGGCTCTGAGCTGGAGACAGCGATGGAGACTCTCATCAATGTGTTCCATGCCCACTCGGGCAAGGAGGGAAACAAGTACAAGCTGAGCAAGAAGGAGCTAAAGGAGCTGCTGCAGACTGAGCTCTCCGGCTTCCTGGACGTGAGCACAGGGCAGGCGTACAGGGTGGTATGGGTGAGGGGAGGAGGAACACCTGGGGACCTCTCTGCCACCTTCCCACCCCACCCCCAACCCACTCCAATCATCTTCTTCCTCTGCCAGACTTCTCTCCTGGATTTTTCTGGGCTCCCATACTTATCCTGTTTCAAGACAAAAATACCCTAATTTGTTCATCTCCTGTTAAGTGCTAGAACCTGTGCAGATGCATCATTAAGAAGGCTCACAGTCTAGGAGGGAAAGACTGACATGAAAGTAAACCATGAACACTGGGAAGTGAACTATTGAGGACAGAGCAGAGTTGAAGGACCAAAAGAGGCCCCCAGTCTGCTGGCAGGAAACTCAGAAGCAATTAGACCCTCTCCCCATGAAGTCTCCGGCCAGCCACTTAGGAGCTACACAGAGCATTAACAGAATTGCCCAAAAGGATTATGGGACAATAGTAACCTGACTGAACGGGGCTTCTCCAAAGACGGGGCACTTGAGCCGTGGATTTCCTTTGGAATATTATTAGGGTAAATGTAGGCATTTTAGGAGGTATCTGCATAAACAAAAGCATGAAAAAAAAAATATGGAGCACGCTCAGTAGTTTTGACCTGAATGAAAGATGCAGAAAAGTAGGCTGCAAATGCTGACAGGGGCTCTATGATACAGAAGCCAGTAGTAAGTGTAGTAAGTGCACCAGCTTCGAGGTTTTATCAGCCCTGGGGTTTCAGTTCTGATCCTGCCACCTTCCAGCTGTGTGAGTCGGGCACATTATTTAACCACCAACTGTTAATTTGTTTATTCCTCTAGCATTTGTGCTAGAATTAACAATTTTACAAGACAATGCTTGTAAAGCTTCGAGTGTACTACTCTTATATAAGCACTCACCATACAGTCATCAATGTTGTTATTACTCTGCCTTGTTAAGGAGCTTATTTGGTGGGTAACAGAAGGCCACAAGTGTTAGTTTTTTGTGTTTTTTTTTTTTTAAGATTTTATTTATTTGTTCATGAGAGACACACACAGAGAGAGGCAGAGACACAGGCAGAGGGAGAAGCAGGCTCCATGCAGGGAGCCCTATGCGGGACTTGATCCCTGGACTCCAGGATCAGGCCCTGGACTGAAGGCAGCGCTAAACTGCTGAGCTACCTGGGCTGCCCAAGTGTTAAAGAGGATTCAGAACAGTCCCATAATTGATGTAGTTCTCCCTCCTTCCTCCCAATCACCCATCTCCCTAGCCCAATTCCATACTATCTATCTCGCGATGTACCCACCTCTCCATCTCCTCCCTCCACAGGCCCAGAAGGATGCGGATGCTGTGGACAAGGTGATGAAAGAGCTAGATGAGAATGGAGATGGGGAGGTGGACTTCCAGGAGTATGTGGTGCTGGTGGCTGCCCTCACAGTGGCCTGTAACAACTTCTTCTGGGAAAACAGTTGAGCAGACACCCCCAGTGGCCAGCGCCCTTCCCCATCCCCCTGCTTCTCTCCCCACACTCCTACCCTTGCCCACCCTCCACCAAGGGCGCAAGAGTAGTGGGCCAGGCCTGCAACTCATCTTTCATTAAAGGCTCTTCTCTGGCCAGCTGCTGTCTGTCTCCTTTGGGGTCTGGAAGTGAGTGGGAAAGTCAAGGTTCCTCACTCCCAAGTCACCTTATTTGGTAAAGGATCTTATTGTGAGAGAGGTCAAGGGGACATTACATCTTCCTGGCTGAGGAATGCTCAAGGCCCAGGAAGGTAGGCATTCGAAGTTCCAGCTGCAAATGTAGGAGACTTCAGCTTCTCAGCTACAAAGCCAGAATTCCCCTTCAGTCTGCAGAGAATATTTACTGAGGACCTACCGTGCGCTAGACGTTGTGAAGGAGCAGTGAAGTTCAGTAAGGATGGCAGACCATCACACACGTGCAGGTGCTGGGAGGGAAACAAAAGACCCTGATGTACTTACGCGCAGAAGAGTCAAAGAAGCGCCTGTGCCTCATTTGCCCAACCCCGGCGTGTTCCTACTGTGCACCCAGGCCCAGGGAAAGCCCAGGGAAAGTGTGCATGGAGGTGCACAGACTGGTGGATGGGGAGGGCATCATCAGGCGAACGCGGACACAACGCCCACAGGGCTTTAACAATATTCAAGACGAGGAACAGAAGCAGAAGCGGGGGCGTCCCTGGCTCTCCCGGGCTCGGGGCTCGGAGACAGCAGCAGGTGCTGCTCGGCCGGGAGCAGGGGGCACACCCCACGCGCAGAGCTGCGGACGGCCGCCCTGAGCGAGGCCGAGGCGCCGCGAAGACAGAGGAACGGCTGTCTCCCCGGCCCCCGCACCGTCCTCCGCGAGCCGGGCCGGCGCGCGCTAACCACGCCCCTCGGTGGGCGGGGCGAGTAGTGGCCCGGACCCCGCCTACTCCCTAGGGCTCCGCCCCAAGCCTCGCGCAGGCGTAGCGTTCAACGTCTCGCCCCCTAGCAGTGCGCGGATCTGACGTCTGACGTAATTGCGTCGACGCCATTTTAGCCGGTCCTAGTCGGCTCTGGGCGTGGCGGCCATTTTGTTTTGGACACCGAGCGGGAGGCGGCGGCGGCGGCTGTGGTGGCACCGACACAAGGCAAGAAAGGGCAGGCCGGGCAAGCAGGCGACCCGGCCGACCAGATAGCCGGCCGGCAACAACGAGCTAACCTAGCAACCTACCGCTTACATCTCTAACCAACCGCCCACCAAGTCAAGTCAGGTTCCGCCGGGCCCCGGCCCGCGCCCCGCAGCCGTGGTGGCAGCCCCGGGAGGCGCACTGGCGTCCGTTTCCTTCGGTGCGTTTCCGTAGCGTGGGGGGAGTGGCGGGGCGGCGGGCCCCGGGGGGCGGAGCCGGCGGTGGGGGGCGGTGTCGGGGAGGGGAGCGGGCGGCGGAAACCAACGTCCGGGTGGGGAGCGTTGAGGGGGGCGCCCCGTGGGTCCTCCTTCCGCCGGGGCCAGTGAGGGCCTTGGGACCCTCGTGTGTGTGCGGAGGCTCCTCGCGGCCTCGGCTGACGAGGACCGGTCCGGGTTAAGACCAGTCCGCTCTGTCGCGTTGGGGGTCGGGCGGTGGCCTCCAGGCCCGGATTGGCCGTAAGTGTGTGGGGACTGGAGCCCCCGGAGCGGTGTTCAGGGCGAGCGTCGGTCCTCGAGACAGGTCGTCCGTTGTCCTGCCTGTCGGGCCCTTGCTGCCCTTGAGACGAGGGATCCTTGGTCTGACTTGGTTTATCCTCTTAATTGTCCTTTGTAGATTCTCGGGATTTGAAGATGGCTGCACAGTCAGCGCCGAAAGTTGTGCTAAAAAGCACCACCAAGATGTCTCTAAATGAGCGGTGAGGCAGCCAACAGCAACTTCAGCTCGTTCATAAGAAAACATTACTTAACTTGGCCCTGGGGTCCGATGCACAAAAACCAGTTGTAAATACCAACAGAAGGCTACAGACCTCTGTTTTTAGTTGCATCTGATGTGGTACACGAAACAAATTGGGCGGTTGTTTCAAAACCCCTTATCAGTAGATTTTTATGTTAAGCTGTCTGAAATATTTAGCTGGTGGGATGTATTTTAAAAAGACTCCTCACACCCTCCCTCTTCTTCACATTTTTTTTACATTGATACAGGGGTGGTGCAGCTCGGTAGCATGGTACCTCGGCTGCAGGAGGCTTGCTGCTCAGTCCAAGGCCAGCAGTGTTGTGTCTGGCCTGTAAGAGGCAGGCAGCAAGCTGTGGATATGTCCAAAGGCCCTTGAATGCCATTCTTGGGCCTTGTAAGAGGCACTTGCTTTGCTCCATTTCTCTTTCTTTGAATTCTGCTTTTAGTTTGTTTTTGTGTTAGATTCTTTTACAGTTAAGTGTTCTTTTTTTGTGCAATTAAACATACTTTGACAGGAGTAACAGAGGAGTGTCTTCACAAGCTTTTAAGTGATTAAAGTAATCTGATTTTCTCAGAAATAATCACATGCAGTCAGGAAAAGTAATCAGATCAGACTAAAAAAAGTTAGGGTGCCAAAAGCTCTTTATTGAGCGCCTTTGACCAGTGATTTTATTTAGTTGATGTTAGACCACAAAAGATCCAGAAGATTGACTTGATGTTTGCTTTTGCTTTTTCTGAAGCATATGTACTGCTTCTTACCTCTTACACTGTGATATACTGATTTTCCATACTTCTATGTTCCTGAACGAACAAATACATGAAGAAAGTGAGATCTACTCTGATGACTTACATGGGTGTACTACTTCCATGGGCTGTGAAGGTGCTCTGGTCCTTCCCTACATTCGCCCTTACAGCCACCCTCCAATTCTCCCAAGAGTTTGGCTTTCTTTGTTTGTCTTTGAAACTACGTTTTCTGTCTTTTGTTGTCCTCATATCTGCTTATTGCGTGTTTTTCATACCTCCCACCTCTCTAAAAGCCGTTACCCTGAGCCCTTGTTATCACTTTTGATTGAATGTGCTGCTGCACTTAGCTGCGTTTCTGAGTTTCTGATTCTTGCAAGTTTGTGGAAGCCGAGGAGTCTTTAACCCACATCAGCCTTGATCTAAGTGTACCACTTTTACTTAAAGTTCGTGGGATCTGGAGCTCCTGGTCTAGCAAGCCATGAAAATGCCAATAAATGTTTTGTAATAAAGCTTTTATTTAAACATCCATTCTGTTCGACCTTGAAGCTTTACTAATATGCTGAAGAACAAACAGCCGATGCCAGTGAATATTCGGGCTTCGATGCAGCAACAACAGCAGCTAGCCAGTGCCAGAAACAGAAGACTGGCCCAGCAGATGGAGAATAGACCCTCTGTCCAGGCAGCATTAAAACTTAAGCAGGTGAGAAGATGAGTCTTAATGCTCCAGAAGCAGCTGGTGATCTCTGTCAGGCAGTCCAACTGAGGCTGTCAGGACGTGATGGATGATTGTAAGGTGGCTCAGGGCAAAAGCAGAAACTTCTCTGGAGGAAAGAGAAGTTCAGAGAATTCCCATTTTGGCAGGTACCAATAAGTAACTTTCGTTGTCTTTCTCTTTTAGGTAGTTTGCCATCAGTGGCCTGTTTCTGTGTTATCAATGAGTATTAATCTCTTTCTTTCTGATCCTTTGCCCTTAAAGTAAATTGACTGGATTCTCCCACAAAGAAATGTTGGTGTCTGTTTTAGATGACTTTCAAAAAATGCTTTATTCCCTATTGAGTGACTTACACATGAGGGAAATAATTTTCTTGTTTCTTCCTTGAGCATAGGAAGTCTGAACAGCCTTAGTCAAGGATTTTCAGTGCTAAAATAGAGAAAGAGTAAGGTGACCCTCATCTCCACAGCACCTAAAGTTATGTCAGTAAAATAGAATGAGAGCACTGAATAATTAAGAATTAGTAGGTTATTTTTCAGACTTCCAGTAGGAGATAATCCTAATCAGACTTGAAATAAAACCTGCTCTTTATTATTCATAGACTTTATATGCAAGTCCGGACAGTGGCTGTGGAAGGATATGTCCAAGCTGTGGCTGGGCGTCTGGAGGGCGATGCCATGCAACTGTAAGGACTTTAACTGGTAGCACTGCATGGCTGTGCATAAATTCAGCGGTTAAATATAACACCATCCCACCCCCACCCTGAACTGTTGGGCTCACTGACCAAAAATAAACAGGGCCTTCTGCTTCAGCTACCTTAAGCCTTGGAGTTCCTGTATTTGTCCCTGACCCAGGAAAGCGGTTAAAAGGGCCCCACCATTTTCCAAGAGAGGCAGTTCTAAATTGCTAAAGATAAATCTATGGCAGATCATTCCAAGGGACCTTTCTAGAAGAAGCTTTAAATACAGGCTGGGCAGAAAGTAGCCTCTGGAGCAGAGGTGTCTGATAGAACTTTGCGCAGTGAAGGGAATATTCTTATCTGCTCTCCAAATTTGGTAGCTACCAGCCAGCCACGTGTGACAATTGAACACTCAAAATGTGGCTAGTGTAACTGAGGAGGTTTTTAAATTTTATTTACTTGAAGTTTAAATAGCCACATGTAATCTTAGCATTACAGCCTAGCTCTAGAGTAAAGCTAGATGGTATAGGAACATCCTTAAGCTTGCTGTGTTAGAGATTTCTATTGCTGAGGTCTCTATACATTATCCCCTGAAGCACAGGTTTTGGGAGAATATACTCAGGATCACTGAACAGAAGGGATTTGGAGAATGAAGTCCTGACCTCCTACTAATGTGTGCCGTCAGGGGAATGATGCGACAGACTCTTAGGGTTGGTTATGCCTAGGTGCATAATGTTCAGAGCTTGCCCTTTTAATTAGAAGCAGTTTATTATGTTGTGCTAGAAAGCTAATAATAATAACAACTCAAAGCATGTGGTTGCAAAAGAAAAAGTCCTTGGTAACCATCTATGGGTGAAGTCTGAGGATACACAGAATTTATTTTCATTCATACTGACTGATGGCTTTATAGGAAAACGGGTTTGCTGGGGCCTTGGTTGTGTTCAAGGCTACACAGTTCCTTTTACTTTGAAGGAATTTCATTCGCTGAGATATGGTTTTAATAGTTTCTTTCTGAGGGGCAGTTTATTGAAAATCTCCATGTGTGGTGTGTCCTTGTTCTAAAATACAGCCCTGAGTTTTGTGATTGTAGGTCACCTGTCTTAACTCTAATGCAAGTTGGCCTTTTCACTGGAGATACATTTGAGTATTTTTAATTAAAAGGTCATTGTACTGGCTTAATGGAGGTGTTTGCAAGGGGAGACATGGAATTAATAGCGATTTAAGAAATGTAAGGAAAGGAAGTTTGACTTTTTTGTGTTTATTTACATCTTAAGGTAAAAAGTGGACCGTCTGGAGATAGATACTCAAAGGAAAAATGGAACACCCTGGCCTCTTTGACTGAAAAAATCAAATCTTGTTTTTAAATGACAAGAATTCAAATGAACTTATAATTTAATATTTCCCAGAGTGTGATGAACTTCCCATGGTGTTTGAGTAAGCTTCTGAAGACAGTGGTAGTCCTTGGGCAGGTACGAATCAAGTCATATCATTGTCAACCTGTGCTTCAAAAACAGCAGAATCCAGGATTTGAGATACAGAGTCCGAGGAATGGTCTATGGCTTCTGTAGCCAGACTAGAGAGGTAACTTGTGTTGGGGCCAATGTCAGGGGACCGTACTGAAGCTGGATCAGAATTCTCCTTTTATACCATGTCCTGAGGCAAAGGCTAGTTTCTGGTTTAGGATCTTTGTGACACCTACAGCAGGTTTATTTATCTCTCTGCACACAGCCATCTCACTTGCTTCTTTTTCTCTGCACTTGAGTTGCTGAATCCCACTGGAATGCTTTTTTTGATCTCAATCCCCCAACACCTTTTCTTCCAGAAGAGCTTAAAGCAGCGCCTGGGTAAGAGTAACATCCAGGCACGGTTAGGCCGACCCATAGGGACCCTGGCCAGGGGAGCAATCGGAGGACGAGGCCTGCCCATAATCCAGAGAGGCTTACCCCGAGGAGGACTGCGTGGGGGACGTGCCACCAGAACCCTGCTTAGGGGCGGGATGTCGCTCCGAGGTCAGTGCTGTGTACTTGATCATTGTCGGGCCTACCCCTTCCTTTTCTCTTGGGCTGCTTATGGACACATTTGTTTTAACATCTTGAATCCTGAATTTGTATTAATATAATAACTTTTGAAATCACGTATTTTTAATAGTGCTGCATGTCTTTTCTCGATACCATTCCCTTTCTGATAATGTGCAATGGTGAGAGGCTATGACCTGCATAACGACAGGTAATTCATGTCATCTCCATTCCGTCTAAACACCCTGCTGCTGCTTGAATCAAAGCACATGCAAGTTCTAGAAATAAGTCAGATCTGAGAAATATTTGGTCCCATGGCCTGTATCTTAACTAACCATCTGTGTGCTAGTGAAACATTGTTCTATTTGGAAAAGAGAACAAGTTGACCCATAGCTACGTGTTATATTTTGGGCACTGTTACACTGTTCCCTGTGTTGTTCTTGTCCCTTGTAAGAATGTATTGAGAGCAGGAACCATATCATTTATTTTTAAATCTATGGTAATGCTAGGCGCACCTATCTGGTTATTCAGATATTCATTGTATGTACTTACTAATTAACTTCCAGCTTCTTCAATGGGTTTGTGGTCAGACTTACTGAATTGATTGAATAAAGAGCAGTTTGATCTGTTCACACTTGGTGTACAGCTTGCCCCAACCCAACCTAAAAATTAACTGAATTAACTCTCACTTAACCCTCACCTCCTTCCTTTGGTTAGAGTCTACTTTGTTTCTCTTGGATTTACCTGCATATACATTGTATGCCTCCTCTCCAAGGTCAAAACCTGCTCCGAGGTGGACGAGCCGTAGCTCCCCGAATGGGCTTAAGAAGAGGTGGTGTTCGAGGTCGTGGAGGTCCTGGGAGAGGGGGCCTAGGGCGTGGAGCTATGGGTCGTGGCGGAATCGGTGGTAGAGGTTAGTCAGCTACCAACTTCAGAGAATAGCTCCCCCTTATTTCTCTCCCTTCAAAACTCAGAGCCACCTTTCTGCACAGCTTTAAGTCATAGGCAGGCTTATTTGTTTGTCTTGTTTTGTTTTTTGAAACTGGCTTCTTTTCTAAATTCACATGCTGGTAGTGCGAAAGTCTGTCATGGGTTGTCTGAGAGCCAGTCAGGTACATGTCAGAGCCAAACTATATGCAGTCTTTTTCCAGGTTCTTGCAAATTTAAGTCCTATTGTCAGTTTAAGGTTTTACCTTTCTGTGCCCCTGCCCCACCACACACACCCATCCCATAGCTCAAAACCACACTGTGAGTCTGAGAATAAAGAAGGGAGGTATACAAAAATGAAGCAGTTTAAAAGGATGATGAGATTGGAACTGGGTATTGACTTTGAAGCCAAGTAAAGTCAGGGCACAGTTTGTGTCTACAGGAAATCAGAGATGACTTTTTTTTTAAAGCAATTTAGAAAGCAAGAAGGTACCATGTCAGTTAACTGACAGACTCTTGTTGATAATCTTACCCTTGAGACTTAGTGATATTTGTCTTGTGACCTCATGACCCAGATGGGAAAGAATTTAATGGTGTTGCTGTCGTTAATCCAAATCTCATGGGAGTTTTCTGACTTAGAGCTTAGTGGAAAACTCTCAACAACACCTGCCCGGGGCGGGATAGAAAACCTATTCCTGTGGCCTCTGCCTCTATCTGCTCTGGTCTTTTGCAGTGTGTGGTGGGTCTTCCATAATTGATGACCTTGAAGTTGCCAAAGGGTAATAACTGTTAGGGAAGGAAATTTGATAGCCAAGGACTTGTTTTCTTCGCTCCCATTATATGTTTGGCTTTCTGAGTGAAGTACAAGCTAGTTTGGGTTTCAGGATGAAATAGCATATTTCCAGATTATCTTGACCTGGTTTCTGAGAGAGCATTACAGGGCTTGGGGGAGTCTAAAGGAGCTTTCCAGAAACCTTGCCTATGTTTTAAGTGGATTGAAACCACCTCTCAGATAACCATCATTGTTATAAGGCGACTAGAATCTGAGATGGAAGTGGCTACTCTAAATGTATCCCACCGCCCATCCTCTCACTTTGTTCCTATGTCAGAATAACTCATCAGGCTCCCAATGTGGGGTGGGTGAGCTCATTAGGTTTAACAAATTGAGAAGAGATAAGATAATTTTCCAGAAAGATCTCCAATAAGGCTTTAAGAACTGTTTAGCCCTCCCCCCTGTTTCTCTGTGCCCCTTTTACTTCCTCCCTATCTTACTGAGTGGGGTTATCTAGAATGTATTTTAATTATGAACCGATAGTGGGTCTCAAACTTGAGATACATTTGTTTTAGGAGAAGTTAAGATTCTTTTAATTGTCAGTTAATTTCCCTTTGTTGACAATAAAGTCAGCACATAGAGATGAGCATGTAAACAGGGATTCATTATGTGTGCTTTCCATGTGTTGCTTTCTACCCACTGTGTTTCCTATTTTCCAGATTTCTCCTCTTTGCCCTGCCCTTTCAGCCTTTCTCAGCTAGGCCCTGCTGCTCTGAGGGGCATTTGCCATAACATCCATTAAACCTACTTGTAACTGTCTCCTTTTTTTCCCCTTGGGCCAGGTCGGGGTATGATAGGTCGGGGAAGAGGGGGCTTTGGAGGCCGAGGCCGAGGCCGTGGACGAGGGAGAGGTGCCCTCACTCGCCCTGTGCTGACCAAGGAGCAGCTGGACAACCAGTTGGATGCATACATGTCGAAAACAAAAGGACACCTGGATGCCGAGTTGGATGCCTACATGGCACAAACAGATCCAGAAACCAATGATTGAAACCTGTCCACCCTACTGTGAGAGACTCTTATTCAAAAGTCACCACATCTGTAAATAACCTTGAGATAACAGATGGAGAAGAAACCTGATCGATGATGGAAGGACCTATCACAATAGGCTATGGACTTATTTGCCACCAGTTTGTGCATTTAGTGTGTTCCTTTTACTTTTTTTGATACTGTGTTGTATGAAACCTTTCTTTCCTCTGACTTGAGTTTTGTTTTGTGTTTGGGGTTTTTTTCCCCAATCGCTCTGACTTCTCTTTAAACATGAATGTGGTGGCCTTGTGGCTAGAACACACTCTTCCCACCTCTGCCTCCCTTCATCTGTCATATGCTCTGATATTCTGACATTCCTCTCGTCATTTCTGTGTCCCAATGGATAAAGCCCCAGAAAGAGCCCATCAGTGTTACTTCCTGGGTTTCTGAGAAACGGTTGTTCTACATAATCTTTAATAGCTTCTTAGAACTGTTCAGAAAATCTGAAGCTCAAAAATGAATTCTGCCACATTGATATTTTGGGGTAGTAAATTAGGGACACTGATATAGCCGCAGGGCCACATAACAGGTTACCCGTGGTAGCACTTCAGATTTGATTAAAGTTACTTCCCATGTAAGTTGACACCACATGACAAGTGTGCTGGTGGGTTGGGTCTGTGCACTTCAACCCTGAAATAACTTTGCTCTTGGCTTTGTATCCTGTCCTAAGAGCTGCTGTTCTGTTGGCTTACACCTGCAATAGAGAGGAAATCGCCGTTTGATTGGGCAGGTTGTTCAGAGAAAGGGCTAGAATGATAGCACATACCTTCTAGGATTCAGAAGATACCCACCCTGGAATGCTATTGTCCTTATGTTTATCCCAAACCAATCCTGAGCCTCTTCATTCATTGGCTTTGTTTGAACCTCTATTTCCCTTGAAGGTTTAAATAAGTTCAACCATATTCTGTCAACTGTTCGAGTTTTCAGTGGAATCTTGTATTTCTGGTTCATCATAACAAGAAATCGTTCTCAAATCTAGTCAGGACTTTTTCTTCTATCGTTGGGCTCCTTGAAACGCTGTGGCCACTATAACAATATCCTGACCTACCCCTTGTGGAATTCAGAGTCCTTCCTAGGTGTATTAAAATCAAGTCCCTAAACTGTTAGAAGGTGTGTGTGGCACACTGGGGAGGAAATTCTGGTAAAGACAGCTTGGACTTGAGTCCTATCTGTAGGACTTGGGCTTCATAACTTCCAGATTGTGAGGCAAGTGGCTTAGTTAGTCCTGTGGAAGAGCAAGATTGGTAAGACCAGTTGGTGTCAGGACAGAACCACACTCAGAATCCCACCTGGTTTGATTTTGAAGTGTCTGTACTATAATCACTTTATTAAGAATGGACTGTGAGCCTAGAGGTCTTCAGGCAGGCGTTCATAACCCATAAGTAGAAAGGATGTTAAGTATTTTTATGTGGCCAAGGCCAGTCGTAATGATAGGTTGTTAAATAGACCCCAGATTGGTCAGCACCCAAGGTATGTGAGGGAGGTGCTGACTGGCAGTGGACAGGGTACCCTTTGCAAACACCACTGGTTACATCAGGGACTTTCCAGGACACCTTTGGAAAGAAGGGAAGGGAACTGCAGAGTGTGGAAGTTCCTTACCCACTTCACACAACCTTGGATGACCCATCCTCAAGGTAGCAGGTGCATGCCCCCAAATAAGACTTTACTAACTTAGTACTTGCCCTGAAGTTATTTATTCAATGACTTTATTAAGATTTTATTTATTTTAGAGTGTGTGCAAGGCTGGGGCAGTGAATAACCCCAATCAGATTCCTCACTGAGTTGGACTTGATCCTAGGTCCCTGAGCTGAAACCAAGAATCCAGTGAGCCACCCAGGTTCCCCAACCAGTGGCTTTAGAACTCTCCCCACCACCACCAATCCACTGAGTTCCTCTAAAAGATTCACGGAAGGCTTTGGGGTGAATGAGAGAAAGGAAACACTACTCCCCACACCTATGTGCCCGTGTCCCCGCTTCGGTTTACTCACAGATGACCCCACACTTGGGCAAGATTCCAGGGTAAAAGCAAAATGTGTGAGTTAGGAAATGGCAGTGCAAGACATGGAGTGGTGGCGCTAAGCCCACGGCACTGCCCTCTGGTTTACTGGTTGAGTTCCTTTGTATGTTCCCACCCCACTCCTGGGTTAGAGAAGCAGAAGTGTGGTCTGCTGAATGGCTTTGCTGCTCCCTCATAGATCAGTCTCTTCCAGCCCCACCATCCTGCTGGCACTGGGCTCTTGCCCACAGGTGGCCATCAGGAGGACTTGCCCCATGGCCTCTGCATTCAACTATTGAATGGGCCCAACTTGTAGCTGCTGTTTCTGGCACCTGTGTGAATGCTGGGAACCCTGAGGCATGAGGGGGCACTCTGAAGGTCCCAGTGGACCCTCCAGTGTATCCTCCCTACATTAGGAAGGAGCTTTTTTTTTAGATTTTATTTATTCGTGAGAGACACAGGCAGAGGGAGAAGCAGGCTCCATGCAGGGAGCCCAACGGACTCGATCCTAGGGCTCCAGGTCCATGTCCTGAGCCAAAGGCAGATGCCCAACCGCTAAGCCACCCAGGCATCCCAGGAAGTTCATTCCCAGCAGTGGGCACAAGGAACTCCCTACCAGCCCCAGACACTCCTGCTCAGTGCAGTTGTCCTCTCCTGAGCCCTGTGACCATTTTTGCGACCCTCAATCTGAGTGTCCAGGGTAGAGAAGGTCAAGGATATTGAGCCTGGTTACTGGGTCATCCTTTTCTCTTCAGCTACCATCTGCCAAGGGTTTGCTGTGCAGACACTGACCCAGCTGTTTGTTAGAAAGATTGGGGCCCATCTGCCTCAGTGGAGCATGTAACTCGATCTGTGCGTTTAAGCCTCACATTAGGTGCAAAGAGGTTTTTTGTTTTTTTAAGTTTTTAAAGGGATCTTGGGACCACAGAAAAGAGATTAGAGCTGGACCTTTAGGGCAGCCCCGGTGGCACAGCGGTTTAGTGCTGCCTGCAGCCTGGGGCGTGATCCTGGAGACCCTGGATCAGAGTCCCACGTCAGGCTCTCTGCATGGAGCCTGCTTCTCCCTCTGCCTGTGTCTGCCTCTCATTCTCTCTGTGTGTCTCTATGAATAAATAAATAAAATCTTTAAAAAAAAAAAAAGCTGGACCTTGAAAGTCACAGTTTGGGGCATCTGGGTGACTCTGTGTTAAGCATTGCACTTGATCTCTGCTCCTTTTTAAAAAAAAAAAAAAAAAAAAGATTTATTTATTCAGAGAGGCAGAGAGAGAAGCAGGCTCCATGCAGGGAGCCTGACGTGGGGTCTCTGGGATCACGCCCCGGGCTGCAGGCGGCGCTAAACCGCTGCGCCACCGCCACCAGGGCTGCCCTCTGCTCCTATCTTGATGAGGGTCGTGAGTTTAAGCCGCACACTGGGCATGGAGCCTACTTAAGTCAGGAGAGTTTCACAGAAGGGGAAGAATCTCCCAAGCACAGAAGCCTAAATGTGAGTTGCCTGCTGGGGAGGGAGTGTTCAGTGGGCCTCCATGCCAGGGTGGGAGGCAAGACACAAGGTCATGTAGCCTGGAGCCCACCTGTCTGCTAAAGAGCTTGGGCTTCATGCTTTGGGTAATGGGGAGTCTGCAAATTTTCAAGGAAGCTCGTGGGATGATGTACATACACATGTTGCTGGGAGACCCTGTGGCTGTCGGGTTGGTGTGACCACTGGAGCGGGCTTGAACCTGCTCAGTGGCAATGTGGCTGTGGAGAAGCCCACACCCTCAATGGTTTCCTCAGGGACATCTGGGCATCGGTCAGACACAAAGAGGCAGTTGGAGCAGCCCAAGCAAGCTGCCTGTCCCCATGGTGACCCCATGATGTCTGATCTGGAACCAATGGCAGCACTGCTGCCCACGGTCCAGTCGAGCCTCCACCACTGCTTCCCACTCCTACGGCCTCATACCCTAGAAGGTGCCAGGCCTCCAGGTAAGAGCGGTTGGCTGAGGATCAGGCCCCCCGCATCTCCCTCCCCTCTCAGGGATTTCCTGAGGTCTCGTTACTAAGCCCCGACAGCAGGGCTATGCTCAGACCAGCACCATAAGCCATGCCCAAGAAGCTGGGACCTGGGACAAGGGCCTGGCCTCTGTCCCCTCTCCATTTCCTAGGAGCTGTCCTGTCCAGCCCTCTGAAGCCTAAATGCCCTTCCCCCAGTTTCCCAGGCAATGTGGGAGGGGCTAGGGGGCCCCATCCTCCATTTCTCTGGGCTTTGGGGACCTCTTAAGGATTCACTCCTCACAAACACAGACGCAGTTGACACGGTCTTGAGTTCTGACCCAGGACCTCCAGATACCATCTCCAGGCTCCTGATGTGTGGGACAGGTGTTGAGCTGCCACTGGCTGCCCTCTACTGTGGGAGTGGGCTCTCTGGCCTGCCCTGCACTCTGATCAGTGAGGGTCCTGACTGACCACATGGCCCAGGGGCAAAGGACAGCAGGATAGGGGGACCTGAGGGTGGAGACAGAGGCCAGGACGGCCATGGGGCCTGTGATAGCGGTAACAGTCCTCGGTCATGGTCCTCTAACTGTGTCGGGCAGGCTGGCCAGGAGGCCCCAGGAAACCTCTTTAAAGGATTCACTTGATTCTCTATTTAAGGCTTGATTTATTGGATTTCTTTGCCCTTTAGTGTAAGATGGCTATCAGCTAAATATTTATACGTATCTGTGGTGTGATCTTGTGGTTTATTATAAGAAACATGTATTTGGTCCTCATCCCCTTCCTGGCACAGAGCTCCTAAAACCCATGGAATTTCCTGTGATAAGAGCCCTAAAGGTGTCTTTTGTTATGCTAATGAGGTGGCTCCGAAAACCCCTAGGTAGCCTAAGGATGGAGGCTGGTTGCCAGGGGTACCAACCTGTGATTGGAGCCCCCCACACACACCCAGACCTCCAGGAGGAGAGAGGGGCTGGAGGTCCAGTCCATCACCAGTGGCCAATGACTTAATCAATCATGCCTCTAGAATGAACCCTCCATAAAAACCCAGAAGACAGGGTTCTGAGAGCATCCTGTTGGTGAGCACTTGGAGATGTGGGGAGAGTGGTCCCCCCGGAGGGCGTGGGAGCTCTGTGCCCCTTCCCACACGTGTACCCCTCTGCATTGGAGCTAGATCCTTTTATAATAAACCGGCATTCCAGTAAGGAAAATGCTTCTCTGTGACCCATGAGCCACTACAGCAAAATAACTGAGCCCAAGGCAGGGGCTCCGGGGACCTCCAGGCTAAAGTTGGTCAGCCAGAAGCACAGGTGACAGAACGGGCTTGCCTGTGACTGGTGTCTGAAGGGGGACAGCCATCGTGTGGGGCTCACTTAACCTGGGGGATCCGGTGCTGTCTCAGGTGAGGTAGGGCCGGGACACTGAGTTCTCAGATCCCAAAAGACCTTGGAGTAAGATGTGCACACAGTGGAAAAGCTACCTGGATGTCTTGGGCGAAATGAGTTCTTCCAAAATGCCCTAAAGCTTTCTCCTTTGCATTTTACCTCTTAAATTCTGCTTAAACCTGTTTAATGCACATGTTCCAAAGGAGTCACTTAGGTTGTCACCAGACCTGGGCTTTATACCTGACCAAATGGCAGTTTCACCCTCCCCCAGAAACTCACTCTTAACTGGTCAGTCGGGATTATCCTGGTCGGCACCTGTCAGGAGCCCGCCACCCCCCACACCCCTACCCCATGCCCAAGAAGGTGAGGTCATCTGCAGGACAGACCCCTCTGCTCCCCCCCCCCCCCCCCCCCCCGCAAGGGAAGGGGACCTAGCCTGGAGCAATCCTTCCCTTTCTTTTGCTGATAACTCTTTGCCCCACCCTCCCCCCCTACAAAACCCTTCCAGTCTGTATGACTCTCCAGAGTTGCCCTCTCCTGCCTGATTCGTGACTTGCTTAAAAAAGCCAATTAGATCTCCAGATTCATTAAGTTGAAATTTTGCTCTTTATCAAACTGAAAGCACATCCTCT